AGTTTATTCTTTAATAAAAACCGTATGAATCCAAGTGTGCAGTATTTAAAAAATTTAACAAACTTTCGTAAAACTTTCAATGTTTTTTATCTGAATTTAAAAAAATAATTCTGTATATAGCCCATTCAATTGTAACCCTAATACTTATTTGTGATTTTTAATTTCTTATTTTAATTTAATTTATTCTGTGGTGCAAACTTCCTTATTAGGAACATTAAATACACAGAGACACCTACAAGTACGGTGACCATTCGTACCGATTTTGGCGGAACAGTACCGATTTTAAGAAAATTATACCGTCTATAAGAGTCTCCCTGTACTCTGGTCCAAAAACAATTTTTCGTACAAAAGTGGCAGCACTTTCGGTATCACAAAGAACATAGAATATAGGGGAGCCATAAACATAGCCAGCATCCTTATTTTCTATGGTCACTGGTCATGTTTTATTCTGTCAAACTGGTATTCTTGTCAAAAAAATTTTGTAAGGTTTTTATAATTATTTGTTTTTTGTTTTGTTTTTTTAATAAAATGATTTTAACGTGAATTTAGTGAAATTATAAAAAATAATACTAATTCCCTCAAGAAATTCATGGATATGAAAAATATGAGCTGTAGATACAGTGGCGAAAATATAAATAGGGAAGAGGCATTTTAGCATTCTTTGGCTATTCCCCTTTCGATTATTTAATGGTTATTATTTTTTATAAACGTGTAGCTCGGTATTAACAAAAACCATGTTAATCAAACTTGGTTCAAAAATTAGCAAAATTTGTTAAATGTTGGTATTGTTGTAGGCTGGTCGATCTACTTCTCTTTTCACTTTTTCTCCACATCTTTGCCCAACGATTCGCTAACTACCTTAGCATCATCAGGGGCGATTCTTTATTATAAATATCAACAAAAAAACAGGAAAACAAGATTATGTAAAATAGAAATTATGAGTTTTTGTACAAATAAAAATTAAAGATTGGTAAACAAACATATGTTCTGTTTTGAAAACAAACACAATCACAGGTTTTTAAACTTATATTTTTCAATGTATTTAACGTTTTTGTGTTTTTATATGTTTTATATGTTTTTTAATGTATTTAACGTTGTAATGTTTTTATATGTATGTGCATTTATGTGAGACCAATTTAACGTAAGTGTACATGTAAGTCATGCGATAAAAAATATAATTGCTCATTTTCTCCATTAAAAAAAAAAAAAAAAATCAAGCAAGAAAATGCGCGAATATTGCCAAAAATCAACGGAGGGTCCCAACCACCTTGAACTTGCATTTTGTTATACTAAAATTTAATGGGGTACAAAACTGCATGCTGAAAAAAATTCTAAAAAATCTGATTAAAAATTTTAAAATTTTGATCAACATTTGTTAAAATTCGTAGAATTTTTGTAAGTGTTCTACAAAGTTTGAAATTTTTATTTACGTGATTTTTTAGATACTAATCTATATTTTCCAAAAAAAAATTGAAATTTTTTAAACAAAGAAACTGAGCCAAAACTTGCTAAAATATATTTTCTCTATTTACATTCTTGCTACTGTATATATGAATTGTGTGTATACATTTTTGCGATAATTTTTCAAGTTTTTTTGTCTTTGTTTTCTTTTAAATAAAAGTGTATTAAAAGATGTTATGTATTTTTATTCGAAAAGCAAAATTGTATGTTCCGATTTGATGCTTTAGAAATGCCCCGATTTTTGTCCACTAAAATCTGGTCACCGTACCTAGAAGTACCAATTAATGCCAAGATCATTAACAACACCCTTCAAAGTGTCTCCAAACTAAATACATGTATAGATATTAAATACATATACACTTGTGGATATATTTAAATGCAGAAATTCCATTCCATTTCTACGCGTATAAACATTAAACCACCAGAAAAGGCAGTCATTGCATTTGCAATTCTGCATTTCTATTTTTCTATTCTCCAACTTTTTTCAATGTCGTTATTGCATTTGCGAAAATTATAAGCAATTTGAATGCAAAAATGTATGGAAATTAAAATTTGAATTGACTTACGCAGAAGGGACGAAACTGAAGCATTGGTAATTTATAAAAAAAAGATTTATGTACATACATACTATCTACACTTCTATGGACATATACACATTTGATTAATTGTGCACAAATATTGGAGGCCAAAGCAAAATAGTCGATAATTGATACGCTAATGTTTGGCAATTAAAAAAAATAATAATCTTGCTAAATGTTTGACCACCGAGGAACATACTACCACTTTATCTTTTCCTTAGCTCGCAGTCGGATCATTTCAGTTTACCTATAACTTAATAAAACATGTGGAAACGACTACTTAGCTTAGTAGCAACATCCATCCTTAATTATAATTATATTCTTTAACTTTGCTTTTAATAGCGTTTAACAAACGCTTTAGTTTTCTGTCCGAATCCTCACTACTCAAATTTTCCAAGGTCTATTGAATGCCATGTTCGTTGCCTAAAGCGTTTAAGTCTTTAAAACACACCAGTTAGGATTGTAATAGTTTACGAACAGAATTTTTAAGACGTAGCGCAAGTGTAAATAATAATACATAGATTGGTTATTTTTGGATGAAAAATTTATTTTTTCAACATGTTTTGTAAACGACATACCTAGATAAGAGAATTCTGAGCTAATTTTTATGGAGTGCTCTTTATCCAACGCCTCTTGTAAATTATTCAAAAACAGAGCAAAAAGCTGCGGTGATATCGGACACCCTTGTTTAACTCCTGAAACAGTTTCAAAATCTTTGGGAAGCTCGTTTCAAGTCCACACCGCCGATGTTGTTTAGCCATAAATACTTTTAATGAATTTTACAAATTTATAAGAAACTCCATGATGATACAAAATTTTTAAGCCACCGCTATCCGAGCGACTTTTTCAAATGCTGCCTTAAAGCATAAGTTTTCTTGTTTCTATGAAAATTTGATTCCACGATTGCCTCTAAATTGTTAATAATGTCTGCCGTAGTGTATTGTTTTCTAAAACCAGCCTGAAACTCATTTAGAATTTCATACTTTTCCACCCATCCGTATAATCTATCCGTTAGCGCGCCCATCATTATTTTACATACGCAATTCTTGAAAGAGATACCACGATAGTTACTCGACAATTAACTATCCCCTTTTTTGAAGATTGGGAACATAATACCCTTATTTTACCATTCCTGTGTGTAGATGTGCAAAAAGGTTTGACTTTTTCGAAAAGAGTTGCCACCTTTTATTCAATTAAACTCAAATTATTTAATAATCAATGCCGTCAGATCCGCACCGTTTGCTCGAATTATCTAAGAAGTAAAGCCTACTATTACAAAATGGTTTTAAAAAGCTTTATTTCCCAGCTTTACGGTGGGAGGAGTGCCGCCTGATACAAAAATTTAATTCAATTTGAATTAAAGGAATTAGGTAATATAAATATGGGCGTTCGACGAAAAGAGTTTAAGAAGGTAATATGTAGTCTGTAAATATTTTGAAGAGGGTTGCCACCTGCCACCAAATTTGCTAAACAAAAGAGTGTTAAGAAATCTTTAGTTTTAACATAAAGAATATTTTTGAGGTGTTTAAGAAGGGTTGCCACCTATTTATAAAGTTAAATTCAAATTGTTTGATAATAACAAAAAATTTGGTATTAATCGAAATGGGTTTGACAAGGCTTCATTTCGGAACTATTTTTGGAGAGTTGCCACATGTTTTAAAAATAAAATTCAGCTTATTAAAATATGTATCACAATGTCAGATGGGGGTTGTTTAAGAAGGTTTTAGCTTGAATCTACTTTTGGAGGGGGTTGCCACCTGTTTAAAAAGTCGAATTTATTTTAATTATAAGCAAATTAATTGAAATTTTAAAATACATGTGTCAAGCAAAAGAGTGTTAAGAAATATTAAGTTTGAGCATTTAGAATGCTTGAAGAGGGTTGCCACGTGTTTAAAAAGTGGCATTCCAATTATTGAATAACTTTGATGAATTATTAAATGGTGGGTGTTAATGGAAATGGGTTTTAAAGGCTTTATTTCTGAACTATATTTAGTAGGGTTACCAACTGTTTATAAAATCCAACTCAACCATAATTAAGGCAATTAGGTAATTGAAATATGTATCAAAATTTCGGTGCTAGACGAAAGAGGTTTAGGAGGATTTTAGTTTGAAAATACTTTTGAAAAAGATTTCCTCCTGTTTGAATAGGAGAATTTAGTTAACTTATCCGCAAGTTTTATTAAATATTAAAATACGAGTGTAAAGATTATTAGATTTGCACCGTTCTTACGGATTTAAGATTTCGGAGGTTTGGCGGAAAGTGGGCTCTAACTCAGGCCCTGCGCAATGATAGCGCGCACTGCTAACCACTACACCACAGCGGCTGCTATGTAACTCACAAAGTTAGGGATATAAGCTCCGCGTGATCACAACACCTTGCTTTGAAAGCAGTTTCTTCCACCGGGAGCACCCAAGGCGATTCTTGTCCTTTCATCAAGCAACTTTGGGCCTTAATCGATATTCACTGAGAGACCGCTCTCGTCTTGTGTTTGCTATAGTCTGAATCCAATCCCCACCAATAGCCAGAGCTGTTTCGTTAAGTCTCGCGGGGTTGGAAAAATGCTTGGCCAGCCTGGTTTTTAAGTTGGCAGCAATTTCACAGCCCCCTGACAAATTAAGTTGTACATTTCTAGCCTCACAGTTTTCAAGAGTAATTAACTATCTTGGCAAAATATTGTCGGATTTCGTAATTCGACGCTACTACTGGTGCTGCAACGAAATATATTTTATAACATTCAACTTAGTAGGTTTTAAAGCGTTTAATTTTAATAACATTTTTATGAAAATGAATCGGCTGTCCTAAATCCAACTCTGTCGGTTCCGCTCGAGCACACACCTTACTACATAAATATAGACACTTCTACGCGCATACATACTTGTTTTTATTTACAGTTACACTATAACTTACGAAACTTATCAGTTGCAGACATACACAAAAAAAACAACAACAAAAAAACTTACGCAAATCTTTGGCAGCGACTACATTGGCCAATTGCAACACAAGTTGCACAAACAGCAATAGCCAAACTGGCGGCAGCAATGTTAATTTGAAGCCAAAGTCACTATATAACGTGTTGCGCATGCGTGCAGACATTTTTAACTTCTTTTGAATTGATTTACACTTTGTGCTTATTTTTCTCACACGATATAGCAACGTTTAAAAAATCGATTATCTCACAATCGATATTATCGATTCTCGATTTGAATCTTAGATTTTCGTTTTTTTTCAGAATTTTAATTATTTTTTTTTTTAAGTTTATTTTAATCTCGAATTTATGGCAAATTAAGAAAGAAATCCATCAATTTTGCCGCGCCGATAAAGCCACTGCACTGTTCTCTCGCCAGCTAGTTATCAACACAATTTGAACGGGATGCTAAACGCATGCGTGGCTTTTATAGGAAGCTTCAGCTTTTTGCGCCTCTAGCTTCAGTCGAAATCATAGCAAGTTTATAGCGGCAGCAGCAATAGCAAATTACTCAGCCCATCAGTCAGCTTCGTAGTGGATTCGCTTAACCTGCATTCTCACATGTGCTTACGACCAAGTCTCTATCTGGCTGTATTTTAGTGTACATATGTATGTATGTATTGAATACACGCGTACAGGTATTTTTTATAGCTTTGAAAAATTTTAAATCGAAATTCATATGTTATTATAACCGTAATGAGATTTGCTTCATCGAACGCAATTTGCTTAGTCTAGTGACTTTTGCTCTTCTCTATAAAATTTTGAAAAGCTTTGCCTGCAGTTTTGCACCAGTGAGCCAATAAATTTGGATATTAGATTTTAAGTCAGTTTCATGTAATAACTAATACGTACATACCTGCAGTTACTCACAGATGTATTCATGGTTTAGTTTTTTTCACGATATTCAAAAAAAAAATAAAAATGTTTCAATCTTTTTCGTTCATTTTTACTAAAATATAGCTAATTTTATAACGCAAACCATGCACTTTATTATGTTAAAATGGGTTATAAAACTGCATACTGAAAAAAAAATTCTAAAAAATCTGACTAAAAAGTTTGTAGTTTTGATGGCAATTTTTTTAAATTCGTTGAAATTGTACGAGTTTTGTAAAAAGTTTGCAGCATTGGTTTATATGGCTTTTCTTATAGAATGAGCTATATTTTAAAATAATTAATTGACAAAAAAGATTTATAATGTAAGACATTTTGTGTACTGCTGTGAGTAACTGTATGTGTTTTTGCAAATATATATTTTTTTGTTCGCAGGGAAACAAAAATTTCTTAGTTATGTTTACATACAATTTTTGTACCGAACACATTTAGCGGAACTGTCATGCGTCAGTTGTACTATTTATGTATGTATGTACTTACATTCATGCCGGGATTCGTAATCAATTTCGAACTAATATCACTAATTATGACGTAAATCATTTACAGAATATTTATCAAATAGTATTATTTGGCACCCGCACTGCTGGTGGTACGCTATTCCTGCAAAGGGAGTATGGGAGTTGATAATACATGAAGGTAAAAATTTGTTTTTGGAATTATAAGGACCTGGATTTGGGACCTGAGTGGTAAAAAAACGTTCACTGTAAGGAGCTTCGGTTTTGTTATTGTTGTTTTTATTGATTGTATTAACGATTTTGCTATCGATGTTATCATCGCTTTTGTTATCGATATTTTTATCGGTTTTATTATCGATATTTTCATCGATTTTGTTATCGATATTTTCGGAACTTATCGATATAATATTCGATATTTCTATCAATTTTGTTATCGATATTTTTTATCGATTTTGTTATCGGTTGTTTTATCGATTTTCTTATCGATATATTTATCGATTTTGTTGTCGATATTTTTATCTATTTTGTCATCAATATTGTTATCGGTTTTGTTACCGATATTTTTGTCGATTTTGCTTATTGTTATCGATGTTTTTATCGGTTTTGTTATCGATTTTTCTATCGATATTTTTATCGCTTTTGTTATTGATATTTTAATCGATTTTGTTGTCGACTTTTTAATCGATTTTGTTATTGACTCTGTTATCGATGTTGTAATCAACTTCTTGATGGATTTTGTAATCGATTTAGTTATCGATATTTCTATCGACTTTGTTTTCGATATTTTTATCGATTTTGTTATCGATTTCGCTTTCGATATTATTATCGATTTTGATATCGATATTTTCATCGATTTTTTTATCGATGTTTTTATCGATTTTGTTATCGATATTTTTTTCTTAGTGTGTGCTTTCGTTTTCGACTTGGATATGCTCACAATCATACCACGTATTCTACGTTTAAATTTAGCGGCTATATCTCCGATACAGCCTGCAGATCAAGACGACTGCGACGAGGCGCTGGACTGTTCCGACTGTTCCTTTATTTCTAATAATCTTTAGCATCTACCTTTCAAAGTAAATTTTCTGGTAAGAAAATAGGAAAGTACCATATAAATGATGAAATACCTTGCCATAATCGCCAAAGGCAACTAAACTGATTAGTCGGTATCGCGCCCATTCCCGAACTTTTTTGGAAATGTATCGTTCGTGAAGAAGGTGGGTGAAGAGATAATGTAAAATTTGGTATGTATGACTTTTACTTTTCCCCCTCTAAGTCCAACGGTTTTTTTTATAAACTTTCACCATGACTTTTTTCTACCTGCCTCCATATAGTCGAAACACTGTGCGACGCTGAACAAGTTGTAGAGTTTCAGCGAGCCCAAAAGAACAACTTGTCGAACTCCTGTAATAACAACCACGGCAACCTAATGGTCTATGTCCTGCCCGTTTGCGACGGCAAATACCCCAGACGATAGACGTAGTACAGTGAAATAAAATACAACGGCTCAGCTGGCTTGATCATGTCTTACAAATGGACGCCATTGCTCCACTCCCAAAAGTATACAACGGGGTAAACGCTGATTGTAGCCGAAGAAACAGAGGATCTCCTCCGTGTGGGAAAAATGAAATGGGTTTTGTATGGAAGAAGTACTCTCAGGATTTGTCATTGCCGGACGAGATGTTTCGACCAATAGAAAAGAGTCGCTGTTGCTTCCCATCCGCTTTCCTCACTGCTGATACTTACAGCTCTAAGCTGCACTTCAAATTTAATGAAGTTATAAGTATGCTAATTATTTGCTTACTCCGACTGTCTGATGCATTTTTAACCAACGGCAGTATTTACATGCTTAAATACATATTTATGTATTTAGTTCCTCTTTTTTTTAAATGTCTAGTTAGTTTACTCAAGTATTTGTTAAGTATTTACTTTTTCGCACGCGTTTCTCAATGTATTCTGTGTATTTGTATGGTTTGCTTAATTATTTTTCATAGTTGTTTTATTTAGTTTTTTAAAACTAATGTATTTATGTACAGTGACGGGCATAAGAATTAGGACACCAGACTTTTAAGAGTTTAGAAAGGGAAGAGTTTCGAAAGGGAAGTAGAATGTCTGATTATTTTAAATGAGCAGTTTTCGTATATAAATAAATATACAGTTACTCTAACAAGTGTTCACGAGTTGATTTTTTTTAAACCTTTACAAAATTTTTCAAGTTAATTTTTTTTTTTTGTTATTTTTCTATAAAAATATTGTCGAAGCTTTTGCCAAAAATCATATAAAGCAAAGTTTCAAACTTCATACAAAATTTAGGAAAATTTTAATCTCTTTAATCTGAATTTTTACAAGCCAATACCATTTTAGTCTAATGAAGTGCAAGTTGAAGTGCTTTTGCTATTTGTTTTATGTAACAAGTGCTAATTACAAAAAATGGCGACCAAGCGGAGACCGTTCATAAGAAATTCCTGCGTATATGAAAAAACTGCGAAAATCCGTCAGCAAAAAATAAAATATTAAAAATCAACGCTATTTTTTAGCCGCTTGAAACTTGCACTTAATGAGACTAAAATTGTATGGGCTATAAAATTGCATACCCAGAAATGTTATAAAGGTTTAGATTAAAAAGCTTGAAATTTTGATGCAAATTATTCCTAAATTTTGTATTTAGTTTGAAACTTTACGGTTTTGGACAAAACTTGGACAACGTTTTCATAGAAAAATAACTTAGCTTGAAAAACGTTGGAAATATTAAAAAATAAATGAATCAACACGTGAACACTTGTTTGAGTCACTGTATATATCCATAGGTTTTTCGGAAACGGCTCTAACCATTTTGCTGAAATTTTGTACACAGGTAATGTATTGCATTTTAAGGTTATCTGAATAGATATTATATCCGAGAATGTTCGGATAAGGTTGCCGCTTATTCGAAATTATTTTCAAATTAAATGGCGCTTCGTACTAAAATGGAAAGTATTTTATTAATCCCAATTGAGAAAAACATATTTCTGAACAGGGTTGCCACCTGTTTCGAATCGTACATTTATTTAATTTTTTATTTAGAAAATTAGGATACAATTTTATTTGTTAGATATTTTATTACTTGATAGCAGATAAATTTACTTAAACTTACTGTTGTTTGGTTGATTGATCAAATAAGCTTTTAGTTTTAAGTTACAGCTTTCGCAATTGTGGGTTAGGTCCTGCGTAATCGCAGTAATGATGAGTAATGTATTATGCGTTATACTTTATTTGTCACAATTTTCACACTCAACACTGTAGGTACAACATGAATACAAAGTTCTGTGTTCATAGCAAACATGCTGCACTTCGAATAGGATGCTACATTAAATTGTTTAACTAATATTTAAACAATGACTAGATCATAAAGACGTTTTGCATCGTTTCCGGTTTATTTTATATCTGCTGATATGTACGTAATACATTATGTATTTCCTCAAACATGATTATTTACTCGCAGAAATTTATATGAATCCATCAATGCTTTGTGCGTCATTTAAAGTAAGCACCTGAGGGCTGAGCTTTCATTGTTTGCCGCCTCAACACAATATTGGAACATTTCAGAAGGTTCTTATGATGTACAAAGGAAAGGCACATATGTAAATACATACATACTTAATTGATGGGGCTTTCTTTTCTACAAAAAGTGTTGCATTTTTATTGCCCTTTTTAGTTGGTAGTTGTGCGCAGAGGGCAATGAGTGCGCCATAAGTGCTAATCAGCCATACCTTATGCTTATGAGCACGTTTTTTTTTATATATATATATTTTGGATATGTACATATGTACATATGTTTATAGTTATTCATTTTCATTGCATCGCTTTTTGTTTACCAGTCATCATAACTAACCAGTTTAACTGCCCATCAACTACATATGTAGTTAGCATGTGATAAGCGCGTAGTTGAGTAATCTGTCAAGCAACTAATTGCTGGCTTCGATGTGCGTGCCCTTCTGTTTTGCAGTATGTTTTATTTAATTAGTGTTCAATAACCTTTTAACTGGAGATTGTTGGTTAATATTTAAATTGACGCTGTTCTCTCCTCTTTGTATTAGCTGTAATTTTCCATTCATGACCTCTTTGAACGTCGACCTTGATATTGTTCCTG